CTTATACACATCTAGATGTGTATAAGAGACAGGTCAACTCGCTATCACCTGCATATCTCAGCAGCAGTGGAAGAAAAAGAAGAAGAAGAAGAACCCCGAGGGGAAGAGGAGGGGCGATGGTGATCAGCAGAATGAAGAAGAAAAAGATCTCCTCTCTCTCTCTCTGCATGTATGACAGGTACTATCCTGCAGAAAGGTGCCGCCTTGATGCAGGTGTAGACGTCCCGAAGACGAAGCTGGAGCTATGGCGTTGCAGGTAAGTCGCAGGTAAGTCGCAGGTAAGTCCTCCTGGCCTCCGCCCATCTCTCTCACTCTCGCGCGCTGCAGTGCACTGCAGTGCTCCAACTCCTAGCTTGCGCCCAGCGCTGTAGACTACTCTCACTACGCCCAGCGTGTCGCCTACTGAAGACTACTCACTACTACCTCAGAGCTACCACTGAGAAGCGTCTAGCACTACCTCAGTGAACTGCCTGAAGAACTACCTACCTAGAAATGAGGCCGACCCAGCGATATATCCGCTGGGACTAGTGTCCTAGGTCAAAGGGGAATTCGAAAGAAAAACTGGTCTGATGCCAAGAACAAAAAAAAAAAAAAAAAAAAAAAAAAAAAAAAAAAAAAAAAAAAAAAAGGAAAAAAAAAAAAAAGAAGAAGAAGAAGTCGGTTCTGGCGCCAAAACATAAAATGACAAAAAGTAGGGGCCAGGCGAAAATACGAAACGTCTGGTGCCCATTTGCAAAAAGTAGGAACCAGGCGAAAATACAAAAAGTCTGGCGCCAATTTGCATAAGGTCTGGTCGATGCCAAAAGTAGGAAGCTGGTTTTGCATAGGTCTGGTCGATGCCAAAAGTGGGAAGATGGGAAAAACGAGATAGTTGCCTACTGTGTCCTACGGGTGACACAGACCCTAAACCCCACAAAAACCCTAACCCTACTGTCGGACCTTGAGGAGCCCGTGTGGATCTGACTATGCCTCTCTCTTTCTCTCTCTCTCTCTCTCTCTCTCTCTCTCTCTCTCTCTCTCTCTCTCTCTCTCTCTCTCTCTCAATTGTGCTCTTTGTGTGCTCTGACGCGGAGGTCAGAAAGCATCAGTGAGACCTGGCAAGATTGTCATACAGCTCTGACAAGCTCTGACAGCATGGTCTCATTGCACAAGGAGGAGGCATTTGAAAACGAATTCATTAGACAATAGCCTTTCTTCTTTTGGGGAGGGCGGTGGGGGTTGGGATGGGGTGGGATGGGGTGGGATGGGGTGGGGTGAGATTGAATCCGGAGGCAACCCTTGATTTGAGACCTGGCAGGATTGATATACAGCTCTGACGAGAAGCATGGTCTCATTGCGCAATAAGAAGGCATTTGAAAACAAATTCATTAGACAATATCCTTTCTATTTTTGGGGGAGGGCGGTGGGGGGTGGGATAGGGTGGGATGGGGTGGGATGGGGTGGGATGAGGTGGGGTGAGATTGGATCAGGAGGCAGCCCTGCATTTGGATCAAATCAGGGCTTCAAGATGGTTGCCAGACATGCAGGACTCTGGTGCCTGAACTCTGGGTCGTCTGCAGACGTGAGAAGAAAACATTGTTCATCACATGGCATGCAGTTGCATTACACAGAGCCCAGTTGGCTTCAACCTCAGCACTTACGCAACTGTAGTTACATTTATGTAGAAAACAAACAGAGGAACAGAGCCCAGTTGGGTGCAACTTCAGTGTACAAGAAGCATGAGATATGTGGGGCGGGGGGGGGAAGAACAAATGTTGCAAGTTATCATCATACGAAAATAAACAGTAATTACAAATACCATACCTGGATGGTGTTCACTTTGACGCTCGAAATGTATGGGACACTCCCTGCCATGTAGTCTTCCCTCATCATCTTCAGATTGCAATGTCCAGCACACCAAGCAGGCACCTACACAAAACGAAGGACATCACCATGGAGTTGTCATGGTTGTACGCTACATGATGATGAGGATCAAAAGCTTGAAAATTTTGGGCGATAAATGAGTTCCATATTCACACCACGGCTTCAGAGGACGTATATCTCAACTTTTACAATATCATTGCAGATCGATCTAGTTGTGAGCTGGGTCCAATTAACACCACCTGGCTTGTGTATTTCCCTCATAAAACTTTCTTCTACATACTCTGGTATGCTTTTCTTCGTCTTAGTTGCCTTTTTCAGCTGACTGTTACTAGGTCACACCTAGGACAGGTGTTTGGCCAAAGGTGATACTTTTGGCCATACCTGGCTGTTGACGATGTGAGGGATCAGGCAAGGCTAAAAGATGCACGATACTCGTTTGG